CTCTTTGGGAGTCGTCGCACCACCTACCAATGCTGCTTCACTATCGCTCCAAGGCAGAAGCACAGGTGATGCGGTGGGGTACTTTGCGGAATGAGCGTCGAGGGTATACGGAGGAACGGTGCTGATAGTAAACGTGTCGGACGAAGGGTTCGAGCTATCCGTCTGACTGCCCGCGTAGACCAGCAGAATGGAGGAAGATTTCAGATATACCGCGCCATGGGACGTCCGATTTCGCATCGTCCGCTGAGCAGACTGTATCGTGGTCCACTTTTGGGAACCGAAAGCGAATCGCTGCAACCCTGGAGGAGTCGAAGACGAGCTCGTGCCACCGATCACGTACAGCGCCTGTTGATCTTCCTTACCGTCTATTCCGCCCGTCACGCATACGGCATGGGAGACCGGCTCTCCCGGGGGCAATTCACTCCAGGTTCCATTGCGTTCCAGGGGGATGGCTGCGAATCCATTGGCGGAGTAGGTGTAGAGGGTGTTGTTGTGAATGACCGAACAATGGCCCTCCAATTTTACAGGGGGCTTCGGAACGATCATGTCGATTGGAGATTGGTTTTATTTTCTGGTAATGAGGGAATGCGGTGCGGAAAGAAAGGTCGAGTTCTTCGAGAAGACCAGCCGAAGACAATCAGTTGATAACCAGCCGTCAGAGGTAGGGAAGAAGGACGAATCGACGGAACCAGGGAAACGAAGGTGACTGCCAGAGTGCTATCTCATGGTCGGGGACTAGCGAGTCGTCCAATTGACAGGTGGGTTGGCGACGAAACGAACGTGGGTGCTGGTCATAGAATCGATGGTCCTCCACGTGTCTAGCGATGCCGTCGAGTTGGATAGTGATAAGAGTCGCAGACTGAACGTTAAGAGTCAAATGCGATCATGGAATACAGGTCGAATCAAGACCGAGTAACGAAGGAATGGCGACCTGGAGGACAGGATGGTATCAATATCAATCCGAGTTCAGTGCTTCAGGGGTAAAAATTACAATAACAACGATAGGATCACAGAGTCAAAAAAGGAATGATAATGACACGGATACAGAGGCTCATACGTCGAATCAAGGGTCTACCTGAGCAACGAACGACAAGGAAAGAGAGAGAAGAAGAATGGAATAATCAGGAGATGGATTATGAGAGTCATAATAATAATAATAGTACTGGTAGTGATAAGAGAGTACGGAGCTGTGGGTGGTACGGAGCAAAAAGATGAAACAACGGTTCTGGAGAGCAGCAAGAGGGGGTGGCTCGGAGAGTGGAACAGATCAAGAGTCGGAATCATCAATGATCTTGAGGACTTACGATTTTGGTTTTGGCAGTAATTTAGTTTATTATTCCTTTGGTTGAGACGAAAGCTGGATAGGAGCGGAAAAACAGAAAAGGGATGAGGGGAGAGAGGGAGGGGGACCAGCACGAGTGCACAGCACGATGTGTGATGAAAAGAGAGAGAGGGAGGGACAGAGAGAGAGAGAGAGAGAGAGGAATGAAGCAGAAAGAGTTCAGAGTAAACAAAAAGAAAAAGAGAACAGAAGAGAAGAGAGAAGAGAGACAATAAGGAATCCCTTAGTTCATGACTTACGAGTAGTAATCTAGATAGTCTGTGCTCACCATCAGAGTCTGAGATGATCAGAAGATCCAGAGGATCCCTTGATAGACATGTCGACTTCATACCCATCAATTCTACACTTGAACCCAGTATTGCAGTCTGGTTTCTATCACAATCTCATATCTATCAAAATAAACATCTTATAGACATTCATTTCCTGTGCAGGGTACCTTGCATCAGGCACAGCAGCAAGTGCAAGGAAGTAACACCTCAATTAAACATCTTGGTATTATTATTGCCTCATATCCACGGAGCACTCCGAACAGCTCTATTTTCAGGGGTTCAGATCAACAAATCTCAACCGTGGTTCGTCTGTCCATACCATTTACTAGGTAACATCATGATCTCATCCTTCTAGGAGACTACCTAGTTATCAGAAGACTTCCCCCTTTCTTCCCGTTCAGCAATTTAAACCTCTCAATTTCCGAATCGGGTCGGTCTGAATCAGGTCGTTATTGGTGGAGTTAAATTGCCGCCAAGATGAATTCAGTACGGTACAGTACATAACAATACATTACTAGTCAGGCACCAAAAACAGACACAAATGCAGGAACATGACGCAAATTGGTTGAACTGATGGGTAGTACTCTTTCTCTACCTGAGTTTATGATTAGAATTATGACTATGATTAGGATTCTGCCTGCATTATTACTCAGACCTCAAATGAACTGAACTCGGAATCAGAAGAAAGACGGTCCCACCAACCACCCGCTTTTCAAACGACGGGTCATTGTTCGCTTTGGCTGGGCTAACTAGTATGATCCACTTTTGCTTGGCTTAGCACGTGCAAGGAACTACTGCATCCTCGTCATATGAGAGTACGGAATGGAATGCTACACCTGGTATCCTTGACCTCAATTCCTTTGCTGTAGAGTACTAGTACTAGTAACTGGAGATCGCACTCATGCTCGACATCTCCCACAAACCCAAACACCCGCGTGCAGCGGTCATGGTCCCGCCTGCCCCCTGTTTTGCTTCCATGTGTGCGCCGCCTGCAGAATTTTCGTCAGGCTCGCCGCTGCCTGGTCGTCCGCCGGGAACACATAGTCCATGTACTCCTCGTACCGGTCGTCGTCCAGCTTGCGTCGCTTCTTGACCCGCCGGGGCATCTGCTCCTCGATCTTCTTGATGTCCTCGGGGGATCCGTGTGTATGTTCGAAGGCCCGCCAGGCGTTGAGAAGTTCCACTCGCTGTAGCTTCGTCAGTAACATCTTCCCCGGACACATGCGCCAAATAACTCACCTCTTCCTTCATCTCCTTCTCCTTGAACACATTGTGGGCCCGTTCGAACACAACGCGCGCCCGCCGCTTGGCCTCGTCGCTGACCGGCCGCTCCTCCTCTTCCTCCTCTTCTTCTTCCTCCTCCTCTGGCACGTTGATCTCGAACCGCGCGTAGTTGATCCACACCTTAACGTGGTCTGTCTTCTGCAGGAGACGCTCGTACAGCTGCCGCACCCGGTCGTACTCGCCTTCGTACTCTTCAAAGTCAATGTACGCCTTCCAGACGAGCTCCGGCATATCCAACGTCGGCTGATCGATCCCAAGCTCGAAAATCGCCCGCGCACGCTCCGAGTCATCTAGTCCCCGCTCCAGTTCAGCGTACTTGATCCACGATTGGCTGTTGGACGGGTTCCATTCAATCTGTTTTTCGTACAGGGTCCGGCACCGCACGAACTCGAACAGCTGCCGCTCGAGGTCGATGTAACCCCGGAAGAGCTTGTCCTTCGGGCACATCCCAATGGCCTGGCCCAGCGTCTTCCGCGCAGCCTGCAGATCCATCTGGCGGATGTCGAACTGCGCCTTCAGCAGCCAGATCTTGGCGAATGTGAACTTCTTATGTGGGATCAGCTTTAGGCATTCTGTGTAAATCTGGCGGGCCCGATCCACATCCTTGGCCTCCATCTCCTCCCAGATAGCGTAGAAGATCCACAGGTAGATGTACCGTCTCCAATGCCGCTTCTCCTGCGACGGAGGGATCTGCGCAATCGCCCGTTCATAGACATCTCGTACCCGGTCTGGATCGCCCGACGTTTCTTCCAACCGGGCAAAGTCAAACCAGACATCGTAGTTTCGCGGGTTCTCCTTGAGCTGTTCCTCGTATTGCACCCGGCGCTTGGACAGGATCACATCCTCGACGCCCTCTCGGTCGCCGAACTGCTTCTCAAACGTGGTGTAGGCCTTATGAAGCGCCATTGCCTTGGAACGGGGTAGCCGGTCAAGGGCGTACTTGTAGATCGCTCGCGCCCGCTCATACTCCTTGAGCTTCGCCTCGAATTTGGCGTACGCGATGAAGAGCTTCTCGTCCATAAAATCCTCACCCAAGGTCTCAATCGCCATCCCGTACACTTCCCGCACCAACTCACTCGTCCCATACTCCTCCTCGAACCGGGCCCATTTGATCCAATTCCTCGGCTCCGGGTGGACGATCGTAAACCGCTGGAAGATTGCGCGCGCGCGCTCAAACTCATTGTACCGCTTCTCAAGCTTGATATACGCACTCCACGCGCCCTCGTCCGGCTCCCATGACATCCACCGCTCAAACACCTGCCGCGTACCCTGAATATTCCCCAGCGTCTCCTCCATGTACACATACTTGTACCAGAACTTGTCCACGCGAGGCAAGATGGTGACCGCCCGGTCCAGCAAGTTCCTCGCATGGTTGATGTTGCGATTCCGCATCTCCGACTCGATATACCGGATCCAGAGCACCACCGAGGTCGGGTTGACGTCCAGCGCCCGTTCGAAGATCGATCGCGCCCGACGGAATTCCTTCTGCTCCAGTTCCCAAGAGGCATACCGCATCCAGTTGTTCATGTTCACCCGATTGCGGCGCACATAGTCTTCAAACTCCTTTCTCTTGCGGCCCTGGTACTCGTGCAGTTCTTCGAGGTCCGCGAATCGCTGTGTCGGCGCCTGCAACGCGGGCTCCTGCCGATCAACAGCCTCGCGAAGCAGCTGCTCCGCTGAGATCTGGATCGGCGCGGGAGCCTTGTTCTTGACCCTGGGAGGGCCACGAGACGACTCCATGGTGACGATGGGTGGTGTGTAAAGGTACGATGGGTCAGGTATCCACAAGCGGAAATGGCAGGTTCACTTTCAGTCGTACGTGTAGAAAAAGTAGCACGCACTTAAAAGAAGAAGTCGGGGCTCGATCAGCAACCAAATCTGGACGTTGGATCCCCAACTCCAGTTGATCGTTGTTGAACAAGTCCGTTGGTTCTTTTCGTACATCAAAAGTCGGAAGCTGCGCTCCGGGTCCGTGACGCCACCCGGATGACTAAGCGGTGGTTCCTTTCTTAGTGCTTTCCAGTTGTGGCGGGCCGACGATAGTTTTACCTTGACCAGCTGCCACACTTGCTTCAGCGGTTGCCTGTGGTTACATTGCTGCCATCATGTCGAACGCGGAGGAACTCTTGAGAGATTTTGAGGAGGATGACGAGGAATTCCAGGCCGGTGAGGAAATCGAAGAAGATGTCGGCGAAGAGTTGCACCGGCCAGCGACGGAGGTCGCCAACGAGTTTGACGTCGCCGTGTCGACCACCGACGAACTCACACGCCTTCACAAGAGTCTCCGAGACCATTACTCGATCAGATTTCCAGAACTAGAAACTCTTGTTACGAATCCTATTGACTACGCAAAAACCGTTGCCATCTTGAAAAATGGTCCCCTTAACGATATCAAGGCTCTCTCGTCCTCGGCCGATAATATGGTCGGCGCGCCACTCAAGTCCATTCTGGACGGTCCCTCGCTCATGGTTGTCACGGTGGAGGGAACGACGACGCGTGGACGCGAAATGACAGAGGCCGAGCTCAAGGTCGTGCTGGATACTTGTGAGAGGATTCTCAAGCTAGATCGCGAGCGGACGGCGCTTACGCAGAGCATTCAGTCGCGCATGAGCCAGATTGCGCCTAATCTTGCAGCTTTGATAGGACCGGAGACTGCAGCCCAGTTTCTCAACCAGACGGGCGGGTTGAAGGAGCTGGCCAAGATCCCAGCGTGCAATCTGGCCGCGCAGGGCTCCAAGAGATCGGAAGGGTTAGGATTTGCTACGAATATCGGTATCAGATCGCAGGGCTTTCTCTACAACTCGCCCATCATTCAAGATATTCCAAATGATCTAAAGAGACAAGCAATCCGAATCGTCGCGGCTAAGATGGTTCTGGCGACTCGGGCGGATGTGGCCAAGTACAGTCCCGATGGTTCATTGGGCGAGGAATTGAAACAACAGTGCTATCAACGCTTGGAAAAGTTGACGGAGCCTCCTCCGAACGCTGGTACGAAGGCGCTTCCGGCGCCTGACGACAAACCTTCGAGAAAGCGAGGTGGACGGAGAGCGAGAAAGGCCAAGGAAGCAATCGCTATGACTGAGCTACGGAAGGCGCAGAACCGGGTCGCATTCGGCAAGGAGGAGGCAGAAGTCGGCTATGGCACCGGCGAAGGCACCGTGGGTCTGGGTATGCTGGGACAGCAGGACGACGGACGGATCCGGGCGACGCAAGTAGACCAGAGAACCCGGGCCAAGCTCAGCAAGTCGAACAAGGGCTGGGGAGCGGCCACCCCGGTCAGCGGGACGGCCTCTTCTCTGCGTGGGTTTGGTGCGGGCGCAGGCGCAGGCGGCACTGCGAGTGTCCTACAGGCCAAGGGTCTACGAACTTCTGGAGTGGGTCCTTCATTGGCAGGCATCGCCGGCACGGCCAGTACGATTGCCTTTACACCCGTGCAGGGCCTCGAGCTGGTTGATCCCAAAGCGCAAGCCGAGCTCCAGCGGAAGCGCAAGGCGGAGGAGGATCGATGGTTCAAATCAGGCACATTCACGCAAGTGGGCGGTCAGAGCAGTAGTACCAACAGCGGTGCGAATGGCGGGTTCAAAGTGCCTCCACTGCCCGCAAGGAAGAAGGTCGACACCGGCGAGGGCAAGATGGCGCCACCTCCGCCGCCCATGAAGCCATAGCTATAGCTATGTTTCCATTCTATTTGACTGTTGAGCATTGACGGCGTTGGGGGTTCTGTGATCATGATACCAAATAGTGATAGACCTTAAAAGGAATAAAATATATCCACATCGTTATTGGTACCGAGCCATTTTCCTATACCTTATTGCCGTAGAGCCGAGTGGCTGGAATATGGAAGGAATAACGGCGAGCCAAGGTTCGGGGTACTGCACCTCCGAACGAGCGCCGATGGCGTGCGCCGTGCAAAATTTGGCGCAACGGACTGCGCAATCGGTGAGCGATTTGCATTATCGAGTGTAACATTTACATTTGTGTGGTATTCGCATTGCTGAGCATCAAGAAGTGTTGTCCTCCCATATTGTAGACAGTCTCGCATCTATCCCACTGTGGAGGTGACTGTATGTCAAGATCAGAACCCATGGAATCACTTATTGATCATGAACAAATTCAAGGGATGGATCCATCCCTAATACATGTGGGCCGGAGCGTTTCACAAAGCAAAGAACCATCAAGTCGAGATATTGCGTGCTCGGCTCGGCACTGCCTTATAAACTGTCCTCTTCTACATCGTAGTCATTTGTTTCCGATCTGAGCAGTCCTTCGCTAGCATTGCCAGTCAATTGACCCGTAGTCGTTCTCTGAAGTTATAGTCAGGTCCAAGTCGAGGAAGAGGAAGAGCACAGTGTGGTAGACAATCGCACCATGGCCCCGGGGATACAAGACTCGCTGAGCGAGCTCCCAGCAGCAGTCCTCAACGATGAACAGGGACAATTGTCTTCAATCAAACGAAGCAGACGCCCGCTCTCGCTCTTCCATCACAGCCTGGTCACATCCGACATGGACGCGCTGAACTTCCACGCCGCCGCATCCCTCCAGCTGTGCTTCAGCCCCTATCAAGATGTCAATATCACCAACAGCAGCACAGCAGAATCAGACCCGGAAGCGGAAGCTCAACTCCTCATCACATCACCCTACAACTCCCCCCTCCACCTCCTCAACCTCCAAACCCTCGACACACCCAACCGCCTCCTCGCCCAGGCCCTCACAACCCTCCGCCCTGTGCGCGCCGACTACGCCACAGCACCCTACGCAGACTCCTTCAACTGGTCCTCTGTCTTTGCGTTCCTGCACGATCTGAGCACCCGCGAGGGGTACACTTGGTCCCGAACGAATTTCTACGTCGTTGTCTTCCGGTCGACGCTGTTGGCGGGCGCGGATGTGGACAGGATGCATGAGCTGGATGCGCGGTCGCATCAGGAGGCTATCGCGAGTGGGGGGTTACTCAAGTATTGGTTTGGGACGACGAATGCGCGGAGGGAGAATCTGGCGACTTGTAAGTTTTCTTCTTCTCTTCCTTCTTCTGTCTGTTTTTTTTTTTTTTGGAGGGGGTTAGGTTGATGATGGTTAATATAGGTGTCTGGCGGAGTCGGGAGGATGCGCATCGGGGAGGGACGGGGCCGTGGCATCGGGAAGCGAGAGGGGCGGCTAGAGATTTGTATGAGAAGATCGTGTTTACGACGATGGAGCTGGTGGTTGGGGATGAGGTGGGAGAGTGGTCGTTTGGGGAGTGGACTGGTTGATTTGTAGAGATACCCTTTGTTTGTAATAGAGCATGGAATTTACTTTGACTCTCCAAGCTGCTTTTATCATGATATGCATGCAGTACTATATCTGTACGGAGGATGATTCCCCGCGTGTGGAGGGGGAATGGGCCCTAAAAGAGTAGTATTCCACGTCCATGAGGGGAAGACCACGCATAATCATGTCAACTGTGCATAGACTGAACCTCATTCTAAGCGATGAATGATCAAACCAGAATAGATCTGTTTATCGGTAATGAATGCGGGAGAGGGGGCTTGATCTATCTGGAGGATGGTAGGTCATCGTCCGTGCCTTGACAATGACTTGAGTGTTAGCTGACCTATTAGGCGACCCTGTTGGGCTCAAGATCGAGGAAGAGTTTACCATCAAGGCGAAGCAGGCCGGGTTGACCGATGAAGAGGCCAGGTCGGCTTTCAACTCGAATATGATGGCCACGGGGCTTCTGTCCGAGTCGCCGGTCGAGTTTGCCAGGCAGCACGGCCGTCGCTGGCTGGTGTCTGCCTACGAGGCGGGTGATGTTGTCCTGCACAAACCTCATACGGTATGTCCTTGTCCTCTATCCTTCGACTCCAATGGGATTATCCTGACGAGCGCAGATTCATGCATCGACCATCAACAATGACCCGGATAATGTCATCCGTCTGGCGACTGATCTGCGATTCTCCGATTCTTCCAAGCCGTATGATAAGGTACGTTTGCTCCTTGTCAGACAAACAAATGCTAATATGCCTCAGAGATGGATGAACTTTTATAGGTTTGGAGATGGTGTTTGATCAGGTCCAGGTAGTTTATTATCTATCACTAGCATAGTCAACAGCAACAATCTGCACCTTAAAACGTGCAATGACATATCCTGTAACACTTAGTTCAGTTTAGTTCATCTTAAGTTGCGGTGATCTTACAGCTCTCCATCGCAATATCCTCCTGTCCACCCATGACCCTGAAGGACACACTGTACGACTTAGCCAATCCATCTTCAGGCAAACGCAAAAGGCAATAGCAATATAAATACCGCATTATGGCAAGCCAGATTGGCAATCTCGTCGCCGCCTTCGATCTCGCAGGATGTCTCGACGTTCAGCTGGTTGACATGAAGGGGTATGCTCTTTACCAGTTGGCAGAGAAGGCCGAGGAAAAGAATGTTTAGGGTTTTCATTGTGATGTGATGTGTATATTTGGTTAAGCATTCAAGGACATTTGAATTCTCAAAGAGTTTGCTCGAGAGATTGAGATGGCTCGAATATCAAGGGTTCGATCAAGGGAGTCTTGTCGTCATGGATGTGAAGCAAGGGCGGAGGGTTGGCACACACAACAGGCAGACAGGCTTAATCGCGCACTAGAACCTCCATATCGGTTGAAGATGTGCGTCTTACATCCCTTGAAGTAAAATAATGTGCCCTAACGTCGTTTGATGCATATTTCCTCGCCAGTCACCTTCATCGTTTGGCACATCGTTTTCGGATCTCCCGTATTCTCTCCGTTACGACATTTATGTTCGCGTGGGATTGGTTCTCTTCTGTCCCATCAATTTCAACCAGGAAGGACTCGATGTGTATATATTCCGACACAATACTTCTGTCAGACTGGCCTGCTTCTATGGAGCACGGCGATTCTATGGCAGACACCTTGGAATGATTTGATGTCAGTTGCTCCTGCGCACCACTGCCCGTCTCGTTGCTCTACGTCTCCACGACCATATCAAATGAGGTGCCGTCGATTCTGTATTCCCAGAACTGATTCACCATCAGTCGAAGTAATTCCTGGGGTCTGCGGCCATTGCGTAAAAGATGAGTCGGTGAAGAAGATGGGAGTCCATGTTGTTAGGGCACGGATCTGCGTGGACGTAGGCTGGATAGTGCGTGTTCCAATCAACCGTGCTGGTAGTATAATTGCTATTTAGTATGGAGGTAACAACAATTCTATATAATATATGCTAAATCAAGACTAATCATAACATGCAACATATAACACCGATCACTAGCAACAGCCCACATCTATACAAAGCACATAGCTGTCCCTATGACCAAGAGACACCCCCCAGAAGCGGAAGCATATACACAACTGAGATCCAAAGATTCCACACCCGAAAAGTCATCCGATCGCTGGCTGTATCCCGCCACATGAGCATCCTAATGGCTACAGCAAAAGCCAGCACGACGCTCAGACCAGTAGCAAGGGGTCCAGAGCCCGCCAGAAGCGGACATATGACCCCCCAAACAGGCATCGGAATTGCAATGCTCCATCGCGCCGCAGCATCCCCAATCACGAGGGGAACCGTTCGACGGCCCCTCTTCGCATCGCCTTCCTGATCGCACATGTCCTGCACATGCATGGTCGTCAGGATAATTGCCGTGATGACCATGATCCAGAGACTGAGCGAGTGCGGTCTGGCTTCAGGAGACCCTGCAAACACAGCAGGCCCAGAACCAAGCGCTACCTCTACAGCTCCCGAATTGAAACAGAAGTATCCCAATGCGTTGATAATATTTCGGATCACAGGGTCGTGGTCACCCGCTCCGAAGCTGTTGTAGCAGGTGCCTAGGACGATAAGGCCGAGACATTGTCGGTGTCCGCCGCTGTAACAAAAACTGTAGACCAGTGCAAGGGCGTAGAAGCCGAACATCAGGCGTTTTGCCTGGGACCCGGAGAGACGTTTGCTCGGGAGCGGACGCCAGGGTTTATTGAGGCTGTCTTCGGCGATGGACGAGGGACTGCGCTGGTTGTTCATCGTCAGGGGAAGAAGATTGATCCCGACCCAGCCAATGATCAGAGGTATTCGATGGACTGTATTTATGTATCTGGGAGACTGAGACTGTACATCGCGGAAGTCCAGAGCAGCGAGAGCATTGGTGATGCCAAAGATGGTGCTTGGCAGGAGAATGGTCTGGACATCACTTGCAATGAAGAGCCAGATGGTATATCCGCTTGATGCAAATGCCGATGACAATTGACAGATACGAAAGTTCGGCCCGCCGACTGACATATCGCTCTGAATCTTTGCTGTGCACTAATTTGGGTCAGTACGTATCTTCAAGTAATCAGCCTTGGCTAACCTTCATCTGTACTATGCTCTCAGAATGATCAAATTCGTCCCAGAGTGGTGTTTATAACTCGCACAAGTAGTCTCTTCGGGGCAGGATATCAGCTAAAGCTCTTAACAAGACAACAAGTGTGCTCTACAATAATAGACGTAACAGACATCAGGTCCTATCATGCCTGAGCATCGATTGGCCTTCGACTGTCCGAGTCCCAAACACTTCCTGACCTTGACTCAGATTTCAGGGGCTAATTCAATGCGCCTTGTCAGGGAGGCTGGCCTGGAGACCTGGATATGATTAGAAGTCGCCCGTGCTCCAATGGGTGCAGTTTTGGATCTAATAACTGATGAATGGCGGTGCTCTTGAGCAATGCTGAAGGACTTAGCCTGGCATTTAGGCGACCTGAGCCTAGGACATAAGATGAGAACCGACTCATTTTAGTCCTGAGCAAGAATGGCAATATGGCAGTGGGAGATACTCGGGCACACGGAAGCCCACAACAAGCTCGATATACTGACAATGCATTGTCTTCTCAAGGATTGACTTGGACCCATTCCAGGTTCAACCTGGAACACGAGTCATCAATCAGGCCCTAAGGCATGTCTCAGTTCCGGTCATTTCCCCTGCCATTCTTTTCTCTGATTGAGCTCAGCCGTGTGAGGTTACACATGCGGCGTGGGAGATGTATTCCACTGCATTCTTTCGGGCTGTGATCGCTGCCATAGTGGGGGTTGTTTTTTTATGCTGAAACAGCTGACAGTCATCTATTGAGGCCGTACATAAGCTGGAAGAATGGAAGGTATCTTCTGCGGTTGCCAGTCAGAGCAGTGTTCTTGTTGTCGCCAGTTTGGCTTACCATTCTGAAAGTCACAGAATGGCGCAGTTGTCTCGAACGAGGAATGTTTAAGCATCAACAGTGAAGAATAGAGCGATTTTGATACTTGACGACAGGGCGCCTTGGATTATTGCCGATTTACTAGAATGATACAGTGACAGTACCGAGTGAGTCAGATTGCATGGATGCACCCGATTGAAGAGCTGTATCTTCCTGGATGCTTGACAGGCGTGGGTTGCTCGGCAGGTGAGAAATGCCGTGCTTTTGCAGACCTGAGGGCCTTAGGCAGCTACCTGGTCTAGTCCTTCACTTATATAGCTCACTTGCTCATGTCCGGAGGAGAAATCTCGACCAGCACCTCGTGTCTCCTTCCAGTTTCCATCCTTGACTGTCTGTCTACATTATCGAGCAAAAGCATCATCACTTCATTTCGTCCCTTCGACAATCCAATCCTATCAAATCAAGACACGACAAACATGTCTTCCTCTCCAGAATACGTCTTCACCCGCGACTACTTGGACAACAACCGGTATGCTCATTCGAACTCTGCTATCCCGCCTTGCTTACATTTGCAGCATCAACCTGCAGCACTATTTGGTCGTCCAACTTTTTGGATACCGCATCCACCCGTCGATCCCCGTCAAGGATGTGAGCAACCTACGGATTGCAGATGTTGGAACTGGTACTGGGTATGTCACGCTCGAATTTTCCGATGGCAACTGCTCACACTGACAGAATCTGGCTTACTGATTTGGCCGACGAATTCCCTGCAACTGTCCAACTGGATGGACTTGACATCTCCTTCGATGCTGCTCCTCCACGCGACTGGCTCCCACCCAACATGAGCCTTCACCATTGGGATATTAAGGCCGAAGTCCCTGAGCACCTGGTTGGTGTCTATGACGTGGTTAATGTTCGCCATTTCGTCTTTGTTCTCCAACAGTCTGACTTGAAGGGTGTCCTCGACAATCTATTCAAACTTCTCAGTACGTCAAACAGCTTTCATAATTCTCATATCTCTAACGGCTGGTTTACAGAGCCCGGAGGGTATCTTCAGTGGACTGATTTCGACATGTCCTCACTTCGTGTCGAGAAGATCAATCCAGACATCAAGGTGGACGCGCAGGTCAAGTTAATGGAACTTTTTCAGGCCAACGATACCCGTCTTCGTTCCGCGTGGGGTGCCAGTCTGCCCTCGCTTTTTGCACAGAGCGGGTTCACCAATGTCGAATCGGATGTGAAGGATGCACCACCCCATTTGGCAGTTGCACTGCATGAGTGTGGGCTGTTGGCCACGGAGGTCTTAGCCCGAAACAAAGCAGGTGGGAACGAGCAGATGGTGCAGCAACTTAGACAAACCTTGGCGGAGGCTGCAAAGGAGACTCGGGAGGGATCTGTTTTGGTTTTTACTAGACTCACTGTTGTTGGTCAGAAGCCGAGCCAGTAGACTGCCTTTAGCCTGTTAAGTATCGAACCGTCACGCATCCTTAGGGCACTGGAGGTAGATTCATACTTTCTCATAATGATATCAAGCCTCTGCTTAGGAATGATGTACGTATACTCATAAGACGATGATACGCCGTCGCTTCGCCTCGCCATCGCTCAATGCTTACACCCCTTTTGTGATACAATATTTCCAAATCTGACCAAGCCCCGTAGGGTGAGCCGATTCAGCCTCAACTTCAGGAATGTAACCCCGTACCACGCAAGGGAGTACGGACGAGAAAATACCGACATGGGTATAATGTGTACTCCTATTCCTACATCTTACCCCTCACAGCATGTGTCATCTCGTCAGTCATTGCGAAGGTTGGTCGCACAAAGCCAGCGCAAAAACTTCCCGGAATGGCATTCTGCACTACCACTGGGGTTATTCATAACCTCGATGCCTTCCTAGCAAAAGCAATGAGCGCTTAGGTGATAATGGCCCCTCCAACTAAGCCTTTCTTTACTGCGCCAGGAATCAGTAAGACGACCAGATGGCGGATCAAGACGGAACCCAGTACTCGGCTGCATACCTTGCAGAGGATCGGCGACCTGCCCTTCTGAGCGTGGCCATCACCTTTCTTGTCCTGAGTACGTCTGCGGTCATCTTACGCTTCGTGTCTCGTCGTATTGGGCGTGTTGGCTTCCATCATGATGATATTTACATTATCTTGGGCTGGATATTCTACGTGGCGTTGATATCTGTGGCGATCGGTACCTCCCCCTCTTCTCTGCCAAAAGAACATTAACGTGACGACGTATGCAGGAGACATGCACTATGGCGGCGTAGGCCTCCATCAAGCGCGCGTCATGGCTATCGATCCGGTCATGATGCAGACCTGGGCCAAGTTCCTCCTCGCCATCGCATTCATCTACATCTTCGCCGTAATTCTCCCCAAACTCGCCATGCTGAGTCTGTACATCTCCATCTTCAATCGGCACCGCGCCTCCCGTATTACCTGCTATGTCACCGGCGTCCTAATGATAGGCAACTGCATCGGTTGTGCGGCGGCGGGATTTGCTGTCTGCACCCCTCTCCGGCGACTGTGGGACCCGAGTGTGGAAGGGCACTGTGTCAACATCAATGCGTGGTTCCGATACTCGCGGATCGTGAATATCGTCTCGGATGTGATCATGCTCATCCTGCCTATCCCGCATGTGGTCCGGTTGCAGTCAACCATGCGGTTGAAAGTCGGTTTGTTGATCACCTTTTTGCTGGGGAGTGTGTGAGTCGAACCATTCTTCTTACTGTGCGTGGTGGTATATGCCTGACGAGTGTAGGGGCCTCATCGCCGGTCTGATTGCCCTCTTTACGTTCAGCACTACCAACGCCGTCACGGACAACACCTGGAACGCGGCATTGTTGATCATCTGGACCCTCGTCGAAGTGGGGATGTATCTTATTGCTGCGTGCCTGATCTCGTATCAGCCGCTTGCTAAGTTTATTTGGAGAAATACTTGGCGTCGACGGCGAGGGCAGAAGAACAGTTCTCTGGACCAAGAACATAGCCATGTGTGGGTCCGGACGAATAGTACGCCTAGTCAGAGTCATAGTACCAGGGGAAAGACGGAAGAAGAGTACTTAGAGCTGATGACAAGGGAGCGCTCTGACAGGGGGTCGTCTATCTCTGGGGGAATTATGATTGAGCGCCGGGCAACAATGGATTGAATACGGATGTATTATGCTTATGCCATCACAGCTACTGTTGTATCTCTAGCATAGAATGAAACAGAATGAAGTTATTCCAGACACAAACAGAGTGAAACTGATTATGGTATGAATGTGACTCCGAAAACAGTGAAGGAGCGGTCAGAGGACCCTGAGGGATAGCTGGCCTCAGGCAGCGACACTTGCGTTCCTCGATGCCTGAGGTACCCCGTGCCCCGCCGCAAAAACCCTCCGAGTCCGAACGGCGTTTCCCCTCCGACAGTAGCCAGAGAACGTGCCTGAGAGGATTTCCCCTCCGCTGGTTTCTCCCTTTTATTTCTTCTCTTCCCCTCCTCCCTCGATCTCTTCCTCTCTCTTCTCATCCTCATCATCCCCTGCAGTAAGTCATCTCATCCCATCTTCTGTTCAATTGCAGTCAGTCAGTTATCGAGACTTGTCCTAACTAATCGCGTCCAGCTTCTTTCTTAACCACCTAATCCTTTCTCATCATCACCATGGCTGCCCCCGCTCAGAGGTCCAAGGTCGCCGACATCGTACGTGGCCTCTCAGATCCTCCCTCTCACAATCAACCCTATGAAGCATGTTAACCCCCTTTAGTCTCTGGCTGCCTTTGGCCGCCGCGAGATTGAGCTCGCCGAGATTGAGATGCCTGGTCTCATGGCTATCCGCCGCCGGTACGCCGAGGACCAGCCCCTGAAGGGTGCCCGCATTGCCGGTTGCCTTCACATGAGTATGTTGTTTATGTCAGAAGGGGGTTAGAGACTAAAATCTGACTCGCTTATTAGCCATCCAGACCGCTGTCCTCATCGAGACCCTCACCGCCCTTGGTGCTGAGGTCACCTGGACCAGCTGCAACATCTTCTCCACTCAGGACCACGCTGCTGCCGCCATTGCTGCCTCCGGCGTCCCTGTGTAAGTTCAACTGCCATTCTGAAACCAGGCCAGCTCTAATATCATAATAGCTTCGCCTGGAAGGGTGAGACCGAGGAGGAGTACCAGTGGTGCTTGGAGCAGCAGCTTAACGCTTTCAAGGATGGCCAGAAGCTCAACCTCATCCTCGACGATGGTGGTGACCTGACCGCTCTCGTCCACAGCAAGTACCCTGAGATGCTCAAGGGCTGCTACGGTGTCTCCGAGGAGACCACCACCGGTGTCCACCACCTTTACAGAATGCTCAAGGAGGGCAAGCTCCTTGTTCCTGCGATCAACGTCAACGACTCGGTCACCAAGTCCAAGTTCGACAACCTGTACGGTTGCCGTGAGTCTCTCATCGATGGTATCAAGCGTGCCACCGATGTCATGATTGCCGGCAAGGTCGCCGTTGTTGCCGGTTACGGTGATGTCGGCAAGGGCTGTGCCGATGCTCTCCGCAGCATGGGTGCCCGTATCCTCGTTACCGAGATTGACCCCATCAACGCCCTTCAGGCCGCTGTCCAGGGCTACCAGGTTGTCACCATGGAGGAGGCTGCTCCCCAGGGTCAGATCTTCGTCACCACCACCGGTTGCCGTGACATTCTCGTTGGCAAGCACTTTGAGGTTATGCGCAACGACGCCATTGTTTGCAGTAAGTGACGCGTTTCCACTAGTTTCCATGACTTTCATACTGATCAACACAGACATTGGTCACTTCGACATTGAGATTGACGTTGCCTGGCTCAAGGCCAACTCCAAGTCCGTCCAGAACATCAAGCCCCAGGTTGACCGCTACCTGATGCCCAACGGCCGCCACATCATCCTCCTTGCCGAGGGCCGTCTGGTCAACCTTGGCTGTGCCACCGGCCACTCTTCCTTCGTCATGTCCTGCTCCTTCTCCAACCAGGTCCTTGCCCAGATTGCTCTGTTCAAGGCCGAGGACCAGGCGTTTGGCAAGAAGTACATCGAGTTCGGCAACACCGGCAAGAAGCCCGTCGGTGTCTACGTTCTTCCCAAGATCCTGGACGAGCAGGTTGCTCTGCTCCACCTGGAGCACGTCAACGCCAAGCTGTCCAAACTCACTCCCGTTCAGGCCGAGTACCTTGGTCTGGATATTGCCGGTCCTTTCAAGAGCGAGATGTAAGTGCGCCTAGTCTTTTGTGTCTGGCCCAAGCTAATGTTTGCAGCTACCGCTACTAAGCAACTTCATTTCTGGATGGCGTCGACGCTTGATATATCTTAACACATAGACCTTTTCAACATGATCACGATGTTACGAACAACATAAAGGGTTCTCTCAACTTAGAGCTCAAAAGTATTTTGTCTTCAACGGCAATAAAAAGGGGCATATATGGGGGGTTTTCTTTTCCTATTGGCTGTACGGGCGGGTCTACTTGGGAGTATGTTTGCATTCAACAATGCCTCCGATATTTCTCCATATTTCTTTCTTAATATTCAACCCGACTAGGTCGGGTCAAATGATACCAAACCGATGCATTCACCTGCATTGAATACAGATGCAGTGCATTGATCACATTTCGTCATTATATCGTAGGTTTGTAACTGTATCGTCACTTCGTGTGGCCCTTGCGGAGCTCACTACTTGATCTCAACAAATCTGCTAGGGAATCGGCTACGGAGATGGCAAACTCTGGATCATTGATATCTCTCGTATCCCGCTGAACTGCAATTCCTGTGCCGTCGAGCTCGTTCACGAGAGTGGAGAAAAGTGCCTCGTCCGCTTCTCGGTCGTGGAAGGGCTGGCCCGGCGTATCGAGCATGCTGATACCCGCCGCAGGCAAGATCACCCGCACTCGCTCCGGGTGAGCCACATGGGCCTTGAGCTTGTCTGCCATGAAGCAGGCAATCCGCTCACATTCCCCGACAGTCGTCCGCATGAGCGTCACCGTCGGGTTATGCTCATACAGCAGCCGGTGACTGTCGCGAAACCGCGCGGGCACCGTCTCCCGCGGCCCAAAATTGACCATGTCACAGGCACCCACGCTGATGATCTGCGGGAGGCCCGCTTCGGCCGCCGCGATGAGACGCCGCGGACCCGCAGAGAGCACGCCGCCGACAATCTCGTCGGGGATCTCGGACGTGGTGAGATCGACCACGGCGTCCAGCTGGCCCTCGCGGATGAGCCGCTCCATCGCTTTCCCGCCGGCCCCGGTCGCGTGGAACACGTACACCTCGCAGTCGAGCGTCTGCTGCAGCCGCTCCCGGATGGTATTCACCGCTGGCGTCGTCACCCCGAACATGGTGATGGCTATCCGAGACTTGCTGTTGTTCCGGTCAGCCTGCATGCTCTGCGCCTGTGCTTGCGACGCATACGACATAGCCATCCCGGTCACGGCCGCGGCGGCGTTCGTTAGAATCCGGTTCAGGATGCGGTTCGTCCCTGCGACGTCGACGACGCTGTACATGAGGGTTAGGTCGGTTTCCTCGACGTAGGGCGCGACGTCGCCGCTGGCCATGGTCGAGACCATGAGTTTGGGGAAGCCGACTGGGAGAGCGGCGCGCATGGCGGCGGTTGCGAGGGCGGTGCCGCAGGAGCCGCCGATGCCCAGGACGGCGTGGATGGAGCCGGTGCGATGGAGGGTGGTGAGGGTTGTGATGGCGTGGGTGGTCATCCGGTGGATGTATTCTGCGCGGGGAAGACCCGATATTTTTGTGTCAGTGCTGGTTAGGTCGGGATGTTTGATGGCGATGGAGCTGTGCGCGCTCGGGGTGCGGCCGACGTCCATGAGCAGGACGACGCAGGTGTTGTGAGTGAGGAGTTGAGACTGCGTGAAGCATAGTTCGTCCCATTTGGTGTCGCATGTTCCGATGAGGACGATGGTTGGTTTGGTGGCCATCATGTATGCTGTACTTGGTTTACGACCAGCAGGTGTAATTGTTCAATTGAACAGACAGTCCAATCTGACCATATTTCTATCTCTCAGATTGACCTGAGCAAGGTGGACTTGACTCCTCCTGCAGCTGCTCCAACTAACGTCAATGACGCAGTGCAGGCGGGGTTGTCACATAATGCATCCGCTATCTATGCCACCTTCTTCTCTGTCTCTCATCTACCTCTAGCACAGAGAAGAACAACCTAGAAGCAAGATAATTGCCTCAAAATGCCCCGTCCAACAACCCGTCAAGAAGTGCTGGCTCGACTCCGCCAGACCATCGCCAATGGCTCCATCATCGTCGGCGCAGGAGCTGGTTCGTACCACCGCCATTCACTCACCTTCCAGCCAAACCAACTGATATACGCAGGAATCGGGCTCTCCGCGAAATTCATCGAAAAAGGAGGCGCGGATCTGATCCTCGTCTACAATTCGGGCCGGTTCCGGATGGCCGGGCGAGGGTCGCTTGCAGGCATGATGCCATACTCGGACGCCAACCAGGTCGTCGTCGAGATGGTTCGTCTCTCCTACACTTTACAACTATAAATGTATATTGAAGAATGCAAACAGGCAAACGAAGTCCTCCCCGTGGTAGAGCACACGCCCGTCCTCGCCGGCGTGTGCGGGACAGACCCCTTCCGCGACATGCGCTCGTTCCTGGCGCAGCTTCGCGCGCTAGGCTTCATCGGCGTGCAGAATTTCCCAACGGTCGGCCTCATCGACGGGAAGTTCAGGCAGAATCTCGAGGAGACGGGGATGGGCTACGACAGGGAGGTGGAGATGATCCGGCTCGCGCACGAGATGGACCTCGTCACGACGCCGTATGTCTTTACCGTCGATGAGGGGGAGGAAATGGCGCGTGCGGGCGCGGACGTCATCGTCGTGCATGTCGGGCTAACCACGTCCGGGACGATCGGGGCGCGGACAGCGATGTCGCTGGATGAGTGTGTTGTTGTCGTTCAGGAGATCCGCGATGCGATTGTCAGGGTTAATCCCGAGGTGATTGTGCTGTGTCATGGGGGGCCGCTGGCGGGTCCTGAGGACGCGGAGTATGTGCTCAGTCGGACGCGAGGGGTGCATGGGTTCTTTGGGGCGAGTAGTATGGAGAGGTTACCGGTTGAACTGGCGATTCAGGAGAATGCGCAGGCATTTAAGCGGTTGAAGATCCGTCAGTCGATCTAGTCAGATATCCTCAGTTACCGGAATTGATATGATGAACCACCGGAGACCCAAACGGGAAATTCTCCGTGGTACAGACAGTGGGGAAGATAGATCCACAGACTCACTCGGTTATTATCGTTCTATCCGTAGATAGTCTGCTCCGTGCAATGTTACTCACTGGACTAAATTGTCTGGTGCGATGAAGGCTGAATTTGTATACTGTGGACCGCGTGATTATCGCTGTAGCTGTATTTAATGAGGGGTGACCCCGCTATGATTGATGGAATCTGGACGGTTGCAAAGCGTACTTCTCTATATATAAACTAGCATTAATTCTACCACTTGAAGAGCATATCCTCTTAATCATACACTCAGACTAGACAATGTCGCGACCTTTGGAGGGAAAATTCGGTATCGTCACTGGGGGCTCACGGGGTAAGTCTACAGTCTACAGTCTACACTACACCATCCGGCCAGCTCACAGCTAACGAAACAGGCATCGGCGAGGCAATCGCCCGGAACCTCGCCGCAAAAGGCTGCTCGCTCCTCCTCAACTTCACCTCTGAATCTTCGCGCGCTCGCACAGAGGAGCTCTGCGCCTCGCTGGCCTCGACGCACTCCATCCGCTGCGTCGCCGTGCAGGCCGACCTCCTCCACGCCGAAGAAGCCGTCCCCCAGATCTTAGCTGCCGCCAAACAACACTTCACCTCGCCCGAGGGCAAGTTCCAGATCGACGTGCTCATCAACAACGCCGGCGTCAGCGCCGACCGCTTCCTCAACGACCCCGTCAAGGGCCCCATCGACCGCGAGTACTTCAACTGGCACTACAGCATCAACGTGCTCGCCCCGCTGCTGCTCACGCAGGCCTGCGCGGAGTTCCTCCCCACCGACCGCTCCGGCCGCATCGTCAACATCTCCTCCGTCTCCTCGAGCATCGGGTTCACGGGCCAGAGTGTCTACGGCGGGACCAAGGCCGCGCTCGAGGCCATGACGCGCACCTGGGCGCGCGAACTCGCCGACCGCGCGACGGTCAACGCGGTCAACCCCGGCCCTGTCATCGGGGACATGTATTTTGCGACCGGGGAGGAGTTTTGGAAGCAGATGCAGGGGTTCCAGGATGCGACGCCGCTGAGCAAGATGGTCGAGGACGATCCGCAGGTGAAGGAGTTGAGCGAGGAGCAGATCCGCTTGATCAAGGAGAAGATGGGCGGGCGGCGGCCGGCGTTCACCAGTGAGATTGCGGGGGTGGTGGGGATGCTGTGTACGGCGGATGGTCTTTGGTGTACGGGGAGTGTGGTGTGTGCCAATGGTGGTATGCGGATGGGATTTTAGTAGTTCTATACTCCAGAGATAGAAGTCAATTGTCGTTGTACATATTATACCGAAATTGTCTGCCTAGCAAGGTAGTCATGGTACCTGTAACAGAAACACATGAGACGAGACAGTAACTGATGTCATCATCGTCAACAATTCCCATTCCTCAACGCCGCAGCTCACAGCGTCACATCCAAACACCTCATGGTCCTCACCTCTTGTTCCATCCATACTCGCGGCGGAAATCAATTGATACAAAAATAAAATGACCTCCCTCCGACTCAATCTATCGAACCTCCGCTTAACCCACCGACTCGCCAAACCTCTACCCTCCTGCGTCCTGCGCGCCTCCATCACACCATCCATCGCCCTCCGACCTCTATCCACCCATCCCTTGAGGCGACCACTCCTCGCAAATCTCCATACTCTCGAGAAACTTCCCCCATTAACAAGACGCTTCTCCACCGGAAGATCCCAAGCAGACCTCCTCGTCGAAGAACTCCAAGACCTGTACGCGATACGTCCCTCCCCTTTCCCTTCAAGATGGATCTAACGAGACAGCTACGAAACCGCCAAAGACGAATTCGAAATCGCCACAGACAGCACCGCCAGCTCCACCATCTACGCCGCCTCGGACCGCGAGTCCGCCCGCGACGCCCTCAACCAGCTGCTTGCCGTGTACAGCCTCTACACGACCGACATCGCCACGACGGCCGAGTCGCATGCGCCGCAGCAGATGCAGCAGGGTGACGGCAATGCCGATGAGCGGGGGCAGGTGGTGAATACCAATTTCGATCCGTCGGATATCCCGGCGCGGGTGCGCGACGAGGTGCGGAGGCGGGTTGGGCAGCGGGTGAGGGAGTTGAGTAATGCTGTGGACGTTTTGGAGGAGAGGGCTCATGCTGAATGATTGATCCACAAAGGGAGTCAGGCTGGGTCCATCTGATAAAGTTGAGTCATTATAGCTGCTAGCTGCGCTGCTGCTAGTATACATTCATATCGTGATTGGTATCATCATTTGAAAGTATCCCCTCCAACGCCGGGCAATTGCATACAATTGCATATACTTTTATACCCAGATTCCGTATACCGTCTTGTTTAACTCCGATGTGATGAAGAAAAGGGTATTTATCAAACAGTGCCAAGGGGGAATGCAAACTGGTCGGAGAGCGGCGATGGGGATGGAAAGGCCGTGCCGTCTGCTTTGTGTGTCGTGCGCATATGCCGTTTCAATTGGTCTTTAGAGTCAGAGTCAGTACTGGCGACCGGCCAAGGGTCAAACAACGTACCAGGCCGAGTAAAACTTTTGCTGCATCCAGGAAAATTGCATTTGTGTTTTCGTTCTCCGTGAGCTATACTCGTCAGTCATGTACTACTACCCAATAAGCGAGGAACATACTAAGTCGATGGCTCGACATGTTGGACGACTGTAGATGTCAGTACATGCCATTCATTCCCCAGCAAAGGAAGTGACTTACATCGCCCGTCTGAAAATTGCACCCTGGAAATGTGCACTTGAACGGCTTCTCGCCCGTATGCGTCCGTGAATGCGTTTCTACAGGGTCAGCATCCTACCAACGACACACAATCAAGTAACTTACTTAGTTCACTGCTGTCGGTGAATGACTTGCCACATTCGGCACACTTGTACGGCTTCTCGCCTCGATGGCTTCGCTCGTGTCGCTCCAGCGTCGCTTGCCGAGCAAACAGCTTGCCACAAACCGAGCATTTGAAATTTTTATCTATGGAGGACTGTCAGTTTCGGCTCGAACCCCAAAGCCTAATGAACATACAGTTACTGTGCGTCAGAAAATGACCCTGGAGTTTCGACTTTTGGGAGAAAGGCTCATCCGGGCGATGACATCCTTCCCAACAGCAATAATAGCCGGTACCCTTTGCACCTTCCACAGTCCCCATATGGGTTGCAACCAGATGCTCCTGCAGCGCGCAAGCATCGGAAAATGTCGCTCCGCAGGATCTCTTGACACCATGGCTCGTGGTGGTCCATTTGCAAATATGTACTTCCCCGTCAACGGAAGAGAACCCCGGACTGGTCAACACTGATGAGGCACCACCCTCCAGCGGCGGGGGCGTCTCGCCTGGACTGGACATCAGTTGTGAGCTCACGCTCGATCGGGACTGGCGGGAATACGCCGAGTAGGGTCCGTATGGGTGAACATGCGCATGGGGGTGAATTCGACACCGATGATGCGACCGGCATGGTCCCTTGAGCGGCGCATTCCCGTTGATATTGACTGACGCTTTGGACGAATCGTGTGGAGTGGAGGGCAGGTGAAAGCACGTGAAGGAGTCGGTCGAGCCGTTGTCCAGTTTGCTTAGATGTATGTGGCAGTTCTGGTCCTCGTGGGTGTGGGTATCAGGACAGGCAGACACGCTGGGGCACATTCCAAGCATCTGGAATACATCCGCCGGATTGACATTATTCGGCAGGGGAAATGGCACACTCCCAAGGTGATTGTGCGAATCTCGGGGTAGAGTATGACAGTGGAAGTGAGGATAGTCCGACGGGTGACAGTGATGGAATGTTGTTGGGAACGGAAACAGGGCGTCCGTGGACTGTGCCGAGTTGACAAGACCCGATGTGGCATTTTCTGTAGGTTTCGATGGCGGATGGATTTGATTCTGATCGATGGTCGATGACGGGAGTAGGTCGCAGGCTTCCAACGACAGCCCCAGTCCCAGCAGTGACTCTAGATTGTTATGCTCGGCGCCTTGCCCGTCATGGTCGGCGAAGCTGAAGCAGTGTTCATCAAAGCAGACAGCGTCCGCGCTTCTACAATTCTTGTCGTCACAGTGCGATGCGGAACAAGCAGTCGCCTCATCACATTCCGCGAAGCCGTCACAGACAGAAGGGCAGTTAACGGAACAGTCATCAACATCGCAACACGCCTCGTCAATTGCGGCACAGTGCGTCAGCGAAGTGTGATGATGGTCCTCGTCCAAACAACTCCATTCTGGCGGCTGAGCGGAGGTGTCCGCGGCGTCTTGGGAATCCTTACCATCTAGATGAAAGGCCTCCCAGTGACATTCGAGGCAGAAATCATCTTTCTTGGTGTGGGAAGACATGGAGAGGGAAGATCCGCTGGCAATGCGATCTTCTCAGGCCGCAAAGAATAAAGAATAGGGAACACCGTGAAGAGGAAAAAAACCGAGGAGGGGAGATGATCAAAAGGAGGGATGATAGCACTGGGGGACGTTAGTACGAATCAATTCCACATTGGCTGCACAGGGCAGGGCACGGCAGGGCAGAGGCAACAGGTACAAAGCCGCGAGCACCTACCACAATGCGATCAATCACTACTGCAAATGCAATAATGGGAGAATTGGGTTGAGCCGAGAGAATGGTAGGAATGAAGCAATCAAGGCCAGAGCATAGGATTGACCGCCTGCAGTGTGCAAATCCAAGAGGACCTTGGGAGCTTCCCACGTGTATATATTCGACGAAGAGTGACATCCAGATCTGTGCGAGCAACTTGTAGGGAGACGGATCCCGGTAATACCCTGGGGGAACAGGGACTACCTAGACATGAAGATTAGCGCAGTACTCGCATTTGAGCCTAGGATAATAATACGTACCTCAATAAGATTCTTGCATACGGGGGCGTGGGGTGCTACCTGACCCCATCCAGACAGGGTGACTGGATACAATCGAAAACAAGCGAGAAGGAGAGTGAGGACCCTGCGAGCAAGCACCTAATCTTAGTGAGGACCTTGGGGGAAACAGCGTCATGTCCACCCCCCGCCAGCGAATCGTACCGCCTGAATTGTCCGGCCTGCAGATTATCTACCTCGCGTCCGCTTATCGTAGGCGACTCGAAAATTTCGAGCGAGACTATTATCCGGGAAAATTGCAGTACTAGGTGTCTAGACAGGTAGCATTCTCTTTTAAAAATCCCTTAATGATCACTTTCAGTCGTCTACATTTACATTGCATCAGGAATATTTTTGATCTTTCCATGGTTTGACCGTCGGATTCTGCCTGATGATACCGCTTTGTGTTAGGTAATCAATTTTGATAAGATATCAGTAGGTACACTTCGTAGGTGCCTTGTTGCCTGATACTCTGGCCAGACTGAGGGCGAGCTTGAGATTCAAACTTACAATGCTCTCTTTGTCTATGCTTACCACTAACTCGTAAGGTCCTTACTCCGACTTCTCGGGTCGCATAAGAGATCAGACTGTTTTTAGTTAGTTTTAATGAAGCGCCCTCCATTCGATCCGTAGTTATCTGACGCCATTGTGTCTCGCCGCTGTTGAGTATAAAGGCGAAGGCTATAGTATCATTAATCTTAAGTCCACAGTATGAGGGAAAATCGTTCTTCTTGAGGATCTGCTTCTACTGTCTAGCTACTCATACTCTGGTGGCCCTGTTCCTCTTCAGCAATGGCGGACCGATGACAGCCACGTGCTGACCGCCCCTGATCCTCCCCGGATCGTCATTCCGCCATGATCTCCACCACTCCAACATAGCGAACACTCCAGGCTCACCTCAAACCTCACCACCCAGCATTTCAACATTAAACACCCCGGTCCCAACAAATGGGCAACCTCTGCTCCACCTCCAAAAACGAAGCCGAGCCCTTCTCCCGCCCCGGCCACCTCCTCGGCTCAGCCGCCAATCCCCCACCCAACGCCGCCCCGCGCGCCCCGCTCCCCGCGAAATCAAAGGCGCCGTTCAAGTCACCCGGGAGGACACTAGGCGAGGCTGCGCCGGAGGTTCCAGATGCGGAGAGGGCTGATGCGCGGACCAATGCTGCGATTGCGGCGCAGGTGAGTGAAACTGCGAAGCGTAGCATGCCATATAAGGAGGCTGGCTGACTGGACGGTGCCAAAGAAACGAGCCGAGTCGGCGGCGAGTGCGCAAAAGGGGAAATTAGGGTCGAAACTGGCGGCGCAAAAGGCTCAGACGCAGACGCAGACCTTGAGCGAAGTGAGTAGGGAGCAGACTGCTGCCAGGCAGATGGATGAGTCGAGTGAGGCGAGGAGGTGGAATTAGGGCGAAAGTTATCAACCTACGCGACCTATGTTGAACTTGTTGGTGTTTGGGAGTATATTGGCGTAAATATCACTGTATAGATCTTGATGTTTCTTTACTCATGCTTATATTGCTTACACATTATGAACCGAGACATTGGCAATGTATGTCTATAAAGATCGGACCATAACGAATATGATACAACCAGCTAAACGGTATAGTTCTAGACAACGTTGTATCGTCCTCCCACGGGTGCTCTCGCGTCGCTATCCGCAGCAGCCAGGGTGCCCTCTTTGAGCAACCGCATCAACTCCCGCATGGCATTCGTCACGCTGAGTTCCGTTTCACCTTCAACAAGAATATACAGCTTCGGGTTCTCGCCCGGTCCAGGCTCCTTACCAGCAGCATAGAAACTTCCTTTGGTGGTGATAGAGGTGCCAGTAGCCTCCAGAATCTTGGCCACATTCGTACGGTTGGTAACGGCCCAACGAGCTTTTTCTGTAGTGCGGAAACATGTTAGCGCCTGTTTTTTCACTGACCATTACAGGGAATAACTTACGAGGAAAATCGTTGATCTCCAAGGTTGCATGGAAAGCTCCCGCATCAGGTCCGCGATTGTCAATCGGCACACCAGACCGCATGACTCCAGCACGGCTGAGACGGGCATGGATATCAGCGACCGCCGAGCCCACCTTGTCCAATGGATTCTTCGACGCGCCCGCTGGGTCTTTCTCGGTCCTGTGCACCGTAATCTTACCATCAAGGTCGATACCCTTGGGAACACCGGGCAAGGCGGTTGCTGTAGCGGCGGCGGCGGCGGCGGCAGCAGATTGCACCGAGGATACAACTTTGCTGAACCGCTCGTCCGCCTTCTCGGCCTTCTCTTCCTTTTCTTCTTCGTCTTCACCCTCCTCGCCTGTCTTGTATGTCCGTCGCTCTCGCATCCGAGCTGCATCTCGCTCCTGATCGAGGCGTTCCAGACCCTTTCCTCCGAATCCAGAAGCGCTGGCTTTCTCCTTGCCCGCTTTCACCTTCTCCAAAAAGGCATCGACCAACTTTTGGACGGGTTCAGGCACATTCTGTCCACTCTGCCTCAAAGCCTTGGCGATATCCACCGAATACCGCTCTTGTTCTTCGGTCAGGAACGTGACTGCAGTTCCCGTATTGCCAGCACGACCAGTTCGTCCGGCTCGGTGAACGTAGTCTTCCAGATGGTTCGGCGCATCGTAGTTGACAACGAGCTTCAGCTGCTTCACGTCTAAACCTCGGGCGGCGACAGAGGTGGCAATCAAAACGGGGAAAATTCCGGCCTTGAAATCTTCAATCGTAGAATCTCGATCAATTTGGTCTTTGCCTCCGTGAATGGACATGCAAGGATAGCCCTTACGCATCAGCTCGCGAAGGAGAGTATCCGCAGCTTCTTGGCGGTCAACGAAGATCAAAGCACGTGCATCTTCGTTGGCGTCATCCGAGTACAAGTTGCCCAAGATCTCCAATAGTCGTACAAACTTTGTGTCTTCGTTGCGCACCTCCACAATCTGGGTGATCTCAGGCGCGACAACGCTTTTGCCACCGACAACAATCTCGATCGGCTTGGTCAACGACTTACGGGCCAAAGCCTCCATGTTCCGAGGGAAGGTGGCCGAGAACAGGACGGTCTGTCGATCGGGTCGAATATTAGCCATGATCTTCATGACTTGGGGCTCGAAGCCCATATCAAACATGCGATCCGCTTCGTCCAAGACAACATAAGTGACTCTTCGCAGATTAGTGACTCTGCCCGCATTCGCCGCTAGAAGGTCAATCATCCGTCCCGGGGTACACACAACAATCTCGGCACCACGCTTCAGCTCGGCAATCTGGTCCTTGATGGGAGCACCGCCATAAGCACAAACGGCCCGAAGATTCAACGCCTTCAAAAAGGGCTTGCAATCCTTGTGGATCTGAGTCGCAAGCTCACGTGTGGGTGTCATGATAAGGCCAATAGGTCCTTCCATGTTCTCCAGCGGCCGTTGGTCTCTGATATGTCGGAACATAGGAATCAGGAAAGCGATTGTTTTACCTGATCCAGTCTTGGCCACGCCGATCACATCGCGGCCAGACATAATCGCAGGAATGGCCTGTGATTGAATTGAGGTGGGATTCTCGTAGCCGAGCCTATGAATAACATCCAGAGTCTGCACGCCCAACCCGCACTGGGTCCATTTCAGAACTGGTTTGGGCACGTCAACTCCACGCACTTTGATTCCGTCAAGTTCCAGCCGTAAGCTGGCAGCTTCTTCATCGGTCATTTCAGCCAAGTTGGGAGGCTCATTGTAAAACTTCTTACGGAAGGGCTCGTATTCCGCCTTTTCATGGTCAACGGCCGGGATGTCCTTCTTCTTCTTAGCTTTGTTAGCAATCGCAAGAAAGTCATCAGCGTCACCCTCGCCCACAGCGGTCAAATCCACATCGTGTTCGTCGCCGAAGATCGCCTCAGGCTGCTGTTCCTTCGCTTTGGCAAATCTGGCGCCAGTTGTCTTCTTTGGCGGAGCGGTCTCCGCCAGTCCCGACATGAAAGCATCTAGTGGGTCCACTTCCTCCTCCGCTGCATCGACCTCCATTTTCTCAGATTCTGGTTGGTGAGGGACGTCATTCATCTCGACGTCACCGTTGGGTTGAGGCGCAGCCTCTTTTGACTGGGCCCGCAGAGCTTCACTCTGCAAGCGTTCTTCACGCCGTTCCGCAGCAGCTCGAGCGGCGGCCGCATTCTCCTCCTCACTCCCACCGTCCTGCATGTCGACATCATCTTCATCCTCTGCGGCGACATCCACAGCCGCCGTCTCATCTTTCGCGTCCTCTAGTGGAGGGGTCGGTAACCGCTCCAATTTCTTTCGTTTGGATTCCTCTTCACCAAAACCGAGAGTCTTAACTGCCGACGATTTCTCCGCCTCTGTTACTTGCCTGGCGCCTAACCCAAAACCGCCAACATTCCGTTTTGCTGTCAACGTAGCTACACAAGAAACGATTAGCAATTTGAAAAACAATCTTATGGTGGGAATAAATAACTTACATGAAGCGGTGCTGATGGCGGCTGGAGGTTTGTTAGCTTGTACATGATTATTCATGGAGGAAAAGGAAGCGGACGCTTTGGCAGACTGAGGAACGGCGACATCGTTACCAAGCACAGCAGGTGCACTTGGAGCCGGTGCCGCATTTCGTACAATAGCCTTCGGGTCAAATTTGCCAGCATACGGAGCAGGAGTGGCATCTGTGGTAGGCGTCGCTGGAGATTGCGGAGAGCCAACAGCCGGTGATAGACCCGACTTTCTATCAATCTCTTCCAAGATACTTCTTGCTCCGCCAGCTGCAGCGGCCTCGCGCTGCTTCCGTTCTCTCTCAGCAGCTTGCTTTTGCTTCCAGGCTTCCAATTTTGCCAGCCTTTCAGCTCTTTTCTCGTCATCGGTTGGAGCTGCAGGCGCAGGGGTGGATGGCTTCGAGGTCTATCCACTTATTAGCATCAGATCCATAGATATTTTCAAAAGCATTATAAGTCGAACGTACCTCTCGCGACTTGGAATCCAGGTTCCTCGTCCGACTATCGTCCCGTCTAGACTTGTGCTTCAAGTCAGCAGAATCGTTTGTTCGCCTCCGAGCCCGGTCGCGGGAATCATCTCGCCTGCTTCGATAATCTCTTTCGCGACTTTTCCGGCGGTGATCCCGGTCATCGCCTCTATCTCTTGATCGACGTCGTTCGCGAGAACGATCCCTCCGGCTTGGTCGATAGCTATCTTCATCCCGATGATCATCGCGTCTGTCTACGGAGCGGTCACGTCTCCGGTATGAATCGCGGTCGCGGTCGCGGTATCGTCTCTGTGGAAGTTGTGAAGTTAGGATAATGATAGACAAACCAAAATTGCGCGATCGAAGCGGCAAGGAACATACCTCAGGGCTACGAGATCTTCGATAACTCCTCCCATCATCTCGCCTGCTCTTCTCGTAGCGATCATCATCTCTGCGACTCCGTCTGGATGAAGAGTATGTGCTGCCTACAGGTGATGGTGAGCGAGTATCCCCGTGGCGAGCCATTGTTGCAGGCCAACGATGAGTGAGTATTACTGAAACTCCAAAGAACTCGAGCACGTAGTCAGAAAAGTAGAGCAATTTATTACCCTTCCATCGGCTGTTGAACTGTTGTTGACGGGTAATCAATAATCGGCACTGGTAGTAGTGAGTTGGTGGCAATGTAAGTGATTGGTTTCCGTTCGGGCTGCAGTTCTTCCTTTTAAGTCTATCTTGAAGTAGTGCCAACCCAAGTCAATGTCGGGACAAGTCTCACGTGATGCAATGTAAGGATCTACGTCACGTGAAGACCATCCCCAATTCGGAATACCCCAAACGAACCAAGGGCGTGACCCAGCCCCCCGGTTTCATCTGTGGCTAGCTAACCACTGCAGCCAAGAGCTCTTGCTTAGCTTGGACGACCTGCCCATCTTACTGCGATTCCTGGATTTCTTTCCACGTCGACCCTTGGGACATTGGTGCGCGTAACTTCGCTTTGAGTCTTAGAATCATGCCTCGAAATGTACTCCAAGGCGGAGGGGGCATCCTCCGATACCTTCATCGCAGCAATGCCTTGGTTCGTCCCTCTCGCGTGGCCATCGCCAACGGCCTTGTCCGACGCATTTGTCTCTCTACGAACCGTCATCTCGTGAACTCGACTGCGAAAACAATCCGTCCTTCAGTCATTGTATCGCGCCCATTGATCAACTCCTTTGCGACTACAAGTACTCCCGATGATGAGGCCGAGACAACAAAGGCGAAAGGATCCAAGACCGGCAAGAAGACCACAAAGAAGCGCAGCTCGAAAGCTAAGGCTAAAGCTAAGCCGAAGCCCCGCAAGAAGATGACAGACAAGCAGAAAGAAGCCAAGAAAGCTGAGAAGGTGAAGGAACTGGTCAAGCAGCTCAAGAAGACAGCGCTGGAACCTCCCAAGAAGCTTATAGAGAATCCTTGGAATCTCGCTATCGCAACGGTAGCCAAAGAGATTCAGGCTCGCGGCGTCAAAGGACCAGACTTTGTCACGCAATGTTCCCAACTTGCACAATCAATCAGCGCGGAAGAGCGTGAGGTACGTTCAGGATAGATCAACCCACCACTGTACAATCACTGATGAACTATGATTTAGCGTATTGCGACCGAGGCAGAAGCCAATAAAGCTGCCAATGCGGCAGCTTATGACGCATGGATCCAGCAGCACACTCCTCTTCAGATCAAAGAAGCCAATGCGGCGCGCCGCAGACTCAACAATATTAAGAACACATCTCTTCGACTTCTCCGTGACCCTCGGCAGGTCAAGCGGCCTCGTACGGCATACCTGCTTTACATGCTGGACCGGACTGCCGAGGGCGACTTCAAATATATGAAAGCCAAGGATATCGCATTGCGCGTAACAGAGGAATGGAAAGGCCTGACATCTACGGAGAAGGAGGTATGTTTGAATCTGACGTTCCGCCGGCAGCCATGAACCATCGATCAATGAAGCTAACAGAGTCCTTCTAGAAATACCTCCGACAAGCTGAAGAGGATCGTGAGCGGTACCGCCAAGAATACTTTGAAGTCTACGGTGAAGAACCATCAACTTCTCGCTCAACAACCGCGTCTCCAAGTCCTTAAGCTCGGTACTTTACTGAAAGATATTGTCACTTCACCTCAAGGGATCGTCGCTAATCATGCCTGAGTTTGGAATGCGGGAAAGGATCGTCCTCTATATGGCTTACATGTACCCCGTAGGTATCTTCGTCCTGTCTGTGCCCTTTATCCGGTGTCTTTTTTTCACTGCGGTCTCTCTTGATACAACTCGGCCAGCTGTCTTATTCTGTACTTTATTGATTCCTCTGATCCATGGGTTATGTGCGTTCGTGATTCCTGTAGACAATGATATTATGGTCCTGATTGCCCTCGATACACATAAGCACGTATATGGCTCTGGAAAGCCACCAACAAGGTACTCCATCCTTCAGCTCTACTCCTGAGGCGGTGGGATGTGACTGGTGCCGAGTCTATTTTGGTCTCCAATTTACGGAGTAGATTTGACCAAGCCCTCAGGTAATGTTTGATTACCGGCGTTGAAAGGTATATTTAAATGCTCCTCCCGAAGCCTATAGCTCCATGGCCACTGGCGGCAAGTCTGAAAAGGGCGCATATAACTTCTGACTGCGTTGACAATTGTGGCTTGAGAACCGCTGAGTGGATGGAAAGCCCTGTTTTCCATACCCTGTTTGTCGTGTGCGCTTGAAGCAGGTGAAGAATGGTATATGGGTGCTGTTGAGCAATATTAAGAACCAATTCAGCTCACAGGATTCTCTGATGAGGTATTGTGTACTCCTGTCACTAACATTTTCAAAGTGAATCTGGAGGAATTGCATATCTTTACATCCCCAGTGACCAGGCACTGCTCCTACTTCAGAGAGTCCCAGACTCCCAGTTCAAAAAGTCTATGGTAAGGACCGTCTCGTCCATGGATTATCATTACAAGCGATATGTACATAAGTGGGTCGATCGACCAACCCGTCCTGCTTTTCCGCAGTCTAGTCCGGGATACTGTACGGAAGTTCACCATTCCCTCCTCTCAGCGTCGTCGGTCAAATTCGCCTGACTCGTGCGCATCAAGTCCAAATAGCCCACCGGACTCGACACCATGCCGTCCAGCGCCTCGTGCACCCGGTTCTCCCAGTCGATCACGGTGCCCAGTTCCCGCGCCAGCATATTGCAGTGGACCAAAATCCGCCAGCAGTGGTCCAAATGCCGCCGTAGCTACCTCCGGTTCCGTCGATGGAGCGGATCATGCGGCACCGGGAGCCCCAAATGCGATCGATCATACTCTGTGCAGGCCGTGATCTGCAGTACCAACTCCTGCGGCAACCCTGTCGCCCGAAGATACGCTTCAACCCGCGCCACGTCGACCGCCCTTTGGGCCTGATGCTGGCCGCCGGCGGCTCCCCGCTTCCCGCAAGCCAAGAACTCCTCGAAAGGCAGTTTGCCGTAGAGGAAAGATTCGTCGTATACGGAGAGCGCCGAGATTTGTTCTGGCGTGGACTCCGGCCCCCTGCGGTTCCTTTCCAGTTTCTCGCGCAGCTGGGCAAAGACAGGCCGGTCTCAACCGCGCGAGACGTGTAGCGTGTAGCCGAAATGGCCCTCCAGGCCGAGAAATTGCCGGTGAGGGTGGCGGGAGACTTCGTTTCTGACCCGTCGTGGGTCCAGATTTTGACAGTCTGCCGATACATCCTCGTGGCGCGGTACTCATCGGTCCGTTTCTTGTTTCGGGCTTGCCGGGACGCTGGGTCCCAGAGCTCGGGAAAGCAGTAAAGGATGTTGAGAAGGAGGTAGATGTTTAGAGCGCCTTCGAAGACTTGGTCCCAGCCAAGATCCGGGCTCTATAATCAGTCAGTTGAGCTGCTCTTTTTTGACATTGATGAAGGACTGCAGGACCAGGCCTGAAAAATATGCCAACTCACCCTATATGGACAACTCGGCACAAACATCGACTTCTGCAGATTGTTATCTGGTGTCGCGCACAGTCGCAGCACCGTATCCATCTCTCCCAGAACAAGGAGCGCGTTCAGCACCTGCAAATTGTAGAGCACCTCGGTGTTTTTGACAACGAAGTGGTAGTAAGCGTTGTGAGGGTACGGCCGCTGGAAATCGGCTCCCTTCCGTTCGTGGTAGGGTAAGGAACACCCACAGGCAAAGCTCTCGCTGTTGACATGTCGGCACAGCCCTTCTGTCTTCTGGATCTTATCATTCAGCGGCCAGTTGTAGGCCTTGCACCATCGGTGGGCGAGGGGGCGGATTTGCTCCGCCACGTGGTCGTTCAGGACCAGCTCGTCCGGCGTGAAGGGTGAGTATCGGTCTGGGTAGTTGTGGCGCTCGTCCTGCGTATGCTTTTCAAGAGTCCTTACGAAGGATTCGATAAAGGAGTCGATTTCCTGCCCTTGCGTAGGTTTGAACTGAAAGTACAAGTTGGAGACGGTGTCTGCCGCAGGGTAGGAGGAAGAGCGGTGGAAGAGGTTAGCAGCTAGGATGTTCCAGTTGATGTTGTGCTCTTCGTGTGCCATTATTCTCCTCACCCTGAATTTCTACTTCAGAATAGACGACTTTGGGTGAGCATACATGTGCGATTCTACAGAACGCAAAAGATTATGGTACGATCGTATGGTAGCTTGACGACAGAGTCACAGAGGATGCGATTGGGCAGGTCCTTCCCCTAGATTCTTGAGTTTGTTGAGTTTGAACGATCAGAGGTATATATATAGGCAGCGATCTGATTGAGTCGATGTCGTTGGAACAGAGCCGTGGCCAGTTGGATAAGATTAAGCTAGGAAGGTTTGAACTCCGATCAACGCTAAAAGACAGTCTGAATCAGAAGGCCAACACCCTCGTCTTGAGCAATAGGAAGTGGATCATGATGCCAGACATGGTGATGCATGATCTCTAACCGGTCTCTCTGGACGCAGCCTGGGTTACTTGCTGCTCAATGATATTGCTCTAGTGAAGACAGAAGCCTGTTGAAGCCCTTGGCGTCACCCGACAGCTTATCTTGAAACCTCATCTCCTTCGTTGAATATGGTGATGATAAGTAGTACGTACCCTTCTGCGAGCAGCGTAGTCTGATTCTCTGAGCCATCCCTGCTCAGTATTCCCGTGGGTTTTTTCTGCGTTCCTACCAACTACTTTTAACTTGGCGAGCACTGGTCATGTTGACGCTAGCCAGTCTCTTATGCAATGACGACTTTCACCAACAGATGAAGGGGGGTGGCGCTATGCGCGCGGCATGATGAATGGGGCAATGGCAGAAATGGCTTACCAAAATCTCTCAGGCACAGAGGGGAAACGCGAAAACAAAACAATGAAATGTGCAACAAAGTTGAAGCAGTGATGGAGGGCGACTTTATAGAACATGCACGTCAATGCCAAGCGCCAACAGGGCTCTTTTCTCGCATACCTAGGGAGTAGGGACGCTATACTGTTTCCAGTAATTCGCTGTCACCCCAGACTACTGAGTACCTTGGAAAGCTGACCAAAGTACTAGTCGTTTACCTTATCGAAGTAGAGTTGTCCGCATTGTAAAGCAACCAACCAGAATAGATGGATTCAGCGAGTTTGTGAGGACCGCGGGAATCAGTATACCCTTGTCTGGTTAGTCCGAGAACGCCCAAGGTACATCGCCTGGCGTTTACGAGTCCTTGCCTGTTTAGGAAAAGTAGATAGGGACCTTATGGACTGGGGGATTGCATTGTATCTGTTAATGCTCCCTGACGCGCTGCTTGTTTGCTCGTTCTCTTTGCTTCCCAGGCTTTCTTCTCCTTCTTCTACATACTCCATATCTTTCTCTCTCTCCAGCTTCAACTTCAGTACAACAAGCTTACAGTGAAATTGAGCAATATGCCTATGCCTAGGAATTATCAGCAGAGGAGGATGAACTATCGTGCTCGCAATGTAAGATATGGCTTTTAGCTCTTCTGTTATTGCATGACGCTTTCAACACCGGTTTGCATGTCATTCTCAAGGACCATGGCAGATTTGAGGCCTGTGGATGGGGTTTCACTTCAGAAGGTTAACTGATACAGACCGAGCAGGACTCTGATACCGATGACACACACAGTGTGCACTCGTCTCTCAGTCATGGCGCAAGTACTCTGTTCAGTCACGATGACCGTTCCTCTGTTTCTTCGGGACCAGTATCTGTCTCGCATGCCCTACCTCACCGAGGTACCGGCCTCCGTTTTCGACCTGAAAACATGTACCCAGACCGTTTCACACTGGCGGACATCGAGGTGCCTCGAGGACCGTGGGTGTACCTTGCATGCCCAGGATCCAGGCGCAAGTGTCCACATTGCAAAGTTCACGTGAGCCACAGCGACCATGTCGTGGTAGCAGTTGACGGAGCATGCTCAAAGAACGCCAAAGATGGAGCTCGCTCATCGTATGGGGTGTTCTGGGGTCATAACAACGTACTGAACACCGCCGTGCCTGTTGAGGGAGAAAATCACCATACGAACCAGGTAGCCGAATTACGGGCTTGTATGAGAGCATTGCTGGACGTGGTGCACGTCAAATCTCTCTTTGAGGACCAAGGCGGTGCTCTTAGCGTGGTTGTCATCAAGTCCGACTCGGAGTATCTAGTCCGCGGCGTCACCGAATGGCTCCCCAAATGGAAGAGGAATGGCTGGAAGAACTCCAGGGGACTGGATGTGGCGAATTGGGAACATTTCAAGGCGATTGAGCGTCTCACGGAGGATTTGGAGAGACAAAAAATAATCGTCAAGTTCTGGCATGTACCTCGGAGGAATAATCGCGACGCAGATGCTATGGCGAAGGCCGTCTTGAGGGGCGTCTGGAACCGGGGATTGGGTTTGCTCCCTCCATTCTAGGGCATGCCTTGTGGGTCTGGACGATTTTATCACTTATGAGTGTTTCTGGGCGATGCGAAGGCGATCTTTTCTTCAAAACGGAGTCATGTTAGTGGGGTGTACTGTAGATGTGTCACCGAGGATGAGCTAGAGACTGAACCAGATCGTGAAGAGCTTTATGCGTGCATATTTATCTCGTACTTCTTCCTGGCCTTCTTCTATGACCAGAAAGAAATGATTACCGATTGCATTGGTCCAGTTTAGCAAACAGGAATGCCTGATGCTAAAACTGCAGCGGAAAGATGGACGTGAACATGAAGGCCAAACTTGGCTTCACCGACAAAGCAACAACAGGGGTATCGCGACCATCCTGTCCGCTCAGACACGCCATAAAAAATGGCACACATTCTAACTGTACCTCTATCCAAGTTTCGAGCCTAGTGTGCATATAGGTCCGCGGTGGGGAGAACGGGAATGGCCGTGCTAATGCATGGTTTATGGGGAGACTGCCTGAGCAATGCACGATCTGTCACGGTCAATAATATAAGTCAATGCTCAAGCGCAGCGGTGGTGATGCGTTAGGCTAATAACTGCTCCGTTCTCGGGCATCGTATGGACTGTTACTGGTCTCGAGGTACAGAGGACAGACTCATACTCATAGTCGTAGAGAGCTACGGACAGATATGGCTGCCAGTCAGCACGATGATGGGGTCTCGAATGCCAACACGCGCTCTCATAGGTGGAGCACTGGAGGCAAAGTCTTCGCCTTCGATGCGGTGAAGAAAATGGACAACAACAGAAGTTCAGAAACCCGCCGGTCTTTATAGTCATCCGAGGATGTTTGGCTGAGGACGAATGGAAGTTGCCAGATGATGTTTTTCTTTTTAATCCCTCTGCTGCCCGAAATCCCTCGTTGCATGCATTAGGAACTTGTTGCTCTTTGCGGACTTTCGAGGAAATTTCTGGGTCTGTAGAATGCGAATGATCGAAGCATCTCATGGGCGGTCTTTGCGCGCTTCCTTGGATCACCATAATAATATCATTGTCTGATGTTTAAGTAAAGTAGGTGTGTTCCATGTGTCGAGGCCGTGAAGTTGTACGGTTCTGTGGAAGTTCTCCACTATGTTCCAGGGTACTACTGTAAGCCTGTAAGTAGTCCCATACAAGATGACTCCGCAGTAGGAAAAAGAACAACGCAAACTTGCAAGGGCTCATGTACGCTGTAGATATATTATTGCTAATTGGTATATATTATTATTAAGATTCTTCAAGTGAAGCGGGTATATAGAATCAGGTCGTCTCCATATATACATTTCTTGTCTAGGTACTCCCTCTTGTATGCTTCATACTCTCTACGCAGTACACTATCAATCCCAAGGAGGGGGGCACTCGTTATCGATAGGATCTCCCTCCCACCGCCGCTATTCCACCAGCTATGTGAGTCGCTCGTGCCTGCGTGACTCTTCATCTTCCCTGTTCATAAGATCCCAACCTGCTACATTTCGGAACTTTTGTCCCATCTCTGATTTGATTTGATTGAAAGTATTTGCTAACCGGATGCAAATTCTTCCAGTCCTCCGAGGTAGACCAGCGCTTGTCCCCGTTGGTCCTCCATTCCCCAGCCACCGCTTTGCAGATTTTATACCCCGTTCAATACACAGTACCTATCTATCTACATCAGCAATCGTTCCCGTCCTCTGAGTGGACACGCCGATCAGCGTGCATTGATTGAGAAGATCACACCGGAAGGGGGAAAAAAGCAAAGAATAAGTCAGAGATACTCGAAAGAGGGGAACATACAAAGATTTTGATGTTTCACGCAAACGCAAAGTCCGCCTCTGAGACTGAATATACATCTGCTGCGTCCAACGTATCGCTGGCTGTCTAACTGACCTGCGTACTTCGTACATTAGTTCGCATTCCTAGCCCCAGTCCATCCCATACCAGTTCGTCCAATCCCGACGTGATCTTCTCGAGACGATCTTCATCTTCAAATAGCTTTGCTCTCCTACGTTCCTTCCCACCGCTTGATGGTCACGAATCACGACGCTTTATGACCTTTGTCATATCCTTGTGACTGCGACTGCTACTCCCTGGTGAAATTTTTCTTGCTGTTCTCCTTCGACTCCTCTTGCGCCTCGCATTCCCGCCATTGAACGTGCGATCCGATCACATTCCTCGCCGCCTGTCGCAAATCATAATCCTAAATTACTTCATGGTTTTGCGTTCCACATAGTGCAACCTTGAGCGGGTAGCATTTTTTTTGTCCTTTGTACAGGGAGGCTTTCTCGTTTTCGCCATCTCACTTCTACGTTCATTTTCTCTCATATTGTGTCGAATGACAATATATTTGGATTCTGCGCTTGTCAGTCGTTGAGAACAAATCTGAGTTGCCTCGACCGAGGCCGGTATATCCTCGGTATCCATGAGTTTACTATAACTACTAAGTGACGGGCTACCGTTCGACAGTCGGTCGCCTTGCAGCATGGAAGGAGTCCGTATTGTTCCTAATGCTGGACTTGCAGCGGATTTTGGAGCCAGTTTACTCCCCTCATTGAGTCAGCGCAACATCCTCAGCCATGACGTTATCAACAATAGGCGTTGGCAACAGGACTGGTTTGCAAGTGCTGGTGTCAAAGGCAGGATTACAACGCGCCAAGTAGGTGCTCGCCAGTCAGGCTCTGAGAATGAGTATGAACGGCGCCTATTGATATCTGACCTTAAGGGCATCCTCGACAAGGTAGGAGTTTTCTCCGCGTTCCTTCCAGCCCTAACCTTGAGGCCATTCTGTACCATCTCGACGAGCGATAGTACTAACGGGCACCGTTTCTGAAAGGATTCGACGAGACCTCTAAACTTTCTCTTCAAAGGGAATCTAGTTTTCGAGTCGGGCCTTGATACATGGGATCCGCCAGACTACGATCAACCCCCTCCATCGTATCAGGATGCGGTTACTGACCTACCTCCTGATTATGACACACTCTCCCCATTCGCCCGACAGAAAGACCTGATTGACGAATCAGCGCCAGATAGAACTTCGGGGGATTTCGAGGACAACTATTCTTCTGCGCCTATCGACTTCGACGATCCGACCGGTATCCGAGAATACAAAGGAGGAAAGAAGAAGAAGAAAGCAGGAGGCGGTGGAGGTGGAGGCGGAGGAGGAGGCGGAGGGGCACCACCGCCGCAAGAGGGTACACCACCACCAGAGGATAACAGTGGAGAGCAGCCGAATGAAGGTGGAGATGCCGGGCAGAACAATGGTGATGGAGGGAATGACGGCGGCGATCCTGGCGATGGGAACAACGGGGGTGATGGAAATGGTGACGGCGGTGACGGAGGCGATGACTGGGATGCTTGGAACACCACCAGCAGCAAAAAGGATAAGAAGAAGAAAAAGAAGGAAGAGGAAGAAGAACGGAAGAGGAAAGAAGAGGAGGAGCGGCTAGCGAAGGAGGAGGAGGAACGGAAGGCGAAAGAGGAAGAAGAACGAAAAGCAGCCGAGGAAGCAGCGGCTGCTCAGACTAACAGTCTCAATTGGGCTGATGAAGCTGACGGGGCTGGAGACGATTCGTGGGCGGGGTTTGCCACAGTTGGGAAGAAGAAGAAGAAGAAGGGAAAGGTATGGCACTTTCCAAGGCCTTGATGCATCGTCTTCTAATTAATGAGCAGGATGTCGATCCGCCAGCTGTTGAGGCATCGTCAAACGCCTTTCAGGATGTCAGCCTGAAAGATAGTGGGGTTCCCCAGTTGGACCTGAATCTTGATACCCCTGCAGGCAGCAATGGTGGTGCTGGCTTCAGTTTCGGAGGATGGGGCAAGGATTGGAACACCGGAAGTAAATGGGGTCTGGACTCTCTCAATATGAATGGCAACGGCAATGCCGATAGTGGAAAGAGTACCAACCCTTGGGGCGCCATTGGCAGTAAGAAAGGCGCCTCAAAGAGCCCTGGTGGTTTTGATTTCGGGGACTCTGGAAACTCAGCAGCTGCCGGGCAGGAGGACACTCCTGCAGAAGAGAAGAAGCCTGAAGATGATATTTGGGCTGATTTCGCGCCAGTTAGCTCCAAGGATAAGAAGAAGAAAAAGAAGGATGTTGTGGAGGAACTCCCCAAGGAACCCGAGCCTGAGCCTGAGCCGCTACCAGCACCCGAACCAGCACCTGCGGTAGATGATAGGTGGATGGCCGGTCTTTCCAAGAAGGAAAAGCGAAAGGCAAAGAAAGGGGTTGCTAAAGTTGCCGAGGAGCTGCAGGCGCCTGAGCCTGTCATTGAGGAACCGAAAACAGACAACGTTTGGGGCACAGCTGAAGAAAAGAAGGAGCCAGAAAAGGCTCCCGAGATGGCCGATGATAATGACTGGGGCTGGGGTGTTTCGACCAAGAAGAAAGACAAAACGAAGAAAGGCGTACTGGAGACAGTTGCTCCCGTGGAGTCTCCTGCCCCTGAACCTCCCGCACCCGAGCCTGCCCCCGCGGAAGGCGATTGGGGAATCGCTTGGGGATCAGTCGGCAAGAAGGACAAAAAGTCCAAAAAGGGAGCGGTTGTTGAAGTGCCTGCCCCTGTCGTTGAAGAGCCGCCCCCTGAATCGCAACCAGAACCTGCACCAGAGCAAAAGGCACCTGATGATGCTTGGGGAGGCTGGGATGTTCCCAAGAAAGAGAAGAAGAAGAAGAAGGGAAAGGCGGTTGAGCCGGAGCCGGAGCCTGAGCCCGAACCTGAACCTATTCCTGAGCCTGAGCCTGTACCTGAACCCGAGCCCGAGCCTGTGGCTGAACCCGAACCGGAGCCGGAGCCGGAGCCTGAACCTGAGAAGAAATCTTCTGGATTACCCGATGACCCTCTTTACGATAATTGGGTAAATCTGTCATCGAAGGAGCGGAAAAAACGCGAGAAGGCATTGAAAAAGAAAGGTCTTCCGATACCTGGAAAGGACATTGAGATTCCACAACCAGAAGCAGAACCTGCGCTAGAAGCGGCTCCTGAACCCGCTCCTGAACCTCCTGTGGAACCTGAGCCCGA